TTGCGGATCCGTTGCGACTATCGCTGGAACGGCTGCCGCGAAGTGGTCTCGTTGGACACTATGGCCGCACACGTGAAGACGTGTCCGCACACGCGGTGCCACTCATGCGCTCTACCCGTCCAGCGGTGGGCTCCGGACGCCGATCACAATTGCCTACAACTGCTGAAGAATGCGGTGAATGAGTGGCCAACGAAGTACGCAAACATCGAAAGCGAATGCAAATCATTGGCCGAAAAGTGTGTCGATTTGGAGGCGCGGCTGAAGACAGCGGAGGCCAAGAGTCGTGAGGCGGAGCGTCAATACCTGCAAGAATTGGCGGCACTTCTGGCCGCAAATGGACCCAAATTGTCGGTCACTCGGGCCGAGTTCGGCACTTACGTGGCCAGCGTTGCCGACATAGAAGTGGCCGACGAGGGTCTGCGGCTGCGCGACATACCGGCCAACGGAGCGAACACTCGCCACACGGTTCTCATACCGTACGCCGATATGCGGCGACTGAAGGTATACTCGAATTACTCGATCGCCAACTATAACGGCCTGTGTGTGGAACCGATCGCCGGATCGATGGCTTCCATACAACAGTGTCTTCGGTTGGGAAGCGATTCGCCGAATCGGCACACATTTGATAGCAATTCCGACGGTTTGTGTTGTTTTTGAAAGAGTTTTTTTTGTTGATATAATGAATGTCTCGTTTGTTTCACAGATCCGAGTATTTGTGACATCGATGTCGAATTGAGCGCCACTATCACCGAATCGATGGCCGAAGAGTTGTTTAAGCGGTGCCGACGTGTTAACAGTCAGTGCGAGTTTCACAGAGTTCCCTAACAGAGAGATGTGTCCATCACTTTGGGATCCAATCGCCCGATCAGTTCCCCACCAAATGATTCACAAATTATTTAATCTCTAATCTCTTAATCCGTGTAATACTTAACTCTAGACTTCGTTTTTAAGCTCAAAATCTCGTTTTGTTTTCTTTCTAATGTTTTAAATCTATTCATAATCACTATAATTGACATTTAATTTATAAATTTAATTACTTTTAACTAAATTATAATTATTTTTTTGATACTTTAAGTACAGTGTAATCGCAATTCAAATACTTGTAACTATTTAGCCCACAATTCAATACTACACGTCATTTATGTATTCGCTTAACACATGTTTTGTTTACTTTTCATAGAAATTTAATGTAATTTTTTTGTTATTGTATTTCAGTATTTAATAGCAGTTATTATTAAACATATTTAGTATTAATTGTTGCGTTAATTGCACTTAAATTACACACAAATTAATGTACACTTAATGGCATTTAGTGTCAGCTAATTGTCAATCAATTGTGTGTTTGTAATAGTGTTTGCATTTGAATGACAACAACAGCTGTTTATGTGTTGTTGTGTTGTATTGACTGTTAAACTGATTGTTAAAACAAACTGTGATTTAAATCCAGTGTTAAAACCAATAGTTTTTGTTTGCGTCAACCAATAGTCAGCCAATCATCAGCTGATGTCTCGTTTTGATTGCGTGGAGAGAGCGCCGGGCGTCGAGACGTTTGACTTGAACCGGGCCTTCGCCGCCGACACCCGGCACCAGAAGGTAGACCTCGGCATCGGTGGTGAGTATATATCACATCACTTAGTGTCTTAAGACACAGTCACACATACGCTAACCCGTATTGTCTTTGTTTCGCCCACTGATAGCCTACCGGACCGATGAGGGAAAGCCGTGGGTTCTGCCGGTTGTGCGCAAAGCGGTGGTCGAGATACTGACCGACGAGTCGCTGGACTACGAATATCTCGGTCAGTTAGGCGACGACCTCTTCGCGCAGTCGGCCACTAAACTACTGCTCGGCGACGGGTGTCAGGCCATCGACGAGCGCCGGGTCTGTGGTGTTTGTTTGTGTTCAACACATCTCTATGACTATTATTAACACCCGTTTTGTTGTCCATCTGTTTTGACAGGCGTTTGGCATACAATGTCTGTCCGGAACGGGCGCTCTCCGGATCGGCGCCGACTTTCTGTACCGTTCGGCCGGCTTTAAGACTGTCTACATATCGGACCCGTCGTGGTGTAAGTCTC